TAATTTTATTAAGTACATGTTTATCTTTTGTGGTTTTTAATTTGTATCAATTTTAACTTATTATTATTTTAAATCTTTCTCGCTATAATTATGTGCCTATTAATATATTTTTAAAACAAACATTGTAATTTTGTGGCCACTTTAAAAAGCTTCACATGGTACCTATTTTCATTTAATTGTTTTACATTCGGCATTTAAACATGTAGTAGCTGCTAGTGGTCCTTAAATAAATAAATAAAGTGACAATAAATTATAGTCAGGTCAACTATGATCCGTACGGTTTGGAGTGCGGTGTGAGACAGGGAGGTTTATTCTCGCCAACCCTCTTCAACATGTACGTGAACGAATTGATTGACGAGCTTAGTGGCACTAGGGTAGATTGTCATGTAGATGGGATTTGCTTTTATAACCTAAGTTATGCTGACGATATGGTTCTATTAAGTGCTTCAATTTGTGGCCTTAGGAAACTATTAGCAATATGTGAGGCTTATGCGGGAAAGCACGGTCTGATTTATAACGAAAAAAAGAGTGTAGTCATGGTCTTTGAGGCATGGGGTAAAGCACCGAATATAACATCGCTAACTATGCTCAATGAAATAGGCTTCAACGAGTGTATCATTTTTAATACCTTGGGCATGTGTTGACACCCGGCCTTAAAGACGATGCCGATATTGAGAAAGAAAGAAGGGCGTTGTCTGGGAGGGTGAATGTGCTGGCTCGCAGGTTTTCACGTGCTTCGACGAGAGTGAAAATCACTTTGTTTAGAGCCTACTGCACTAGTTTCTATTTATCCAACCTGTGCGTCAGCTTTTCACAGAAATCTTACAACGACCTTCGAGTTCAATATAATAATGCGTTTATTTATTTTAAGAATTAGTTTTGAGTACTTAACCCATCTTTACCAATCATTGCGCCAGCGCATCATTTAAAATATGATTTTTTTTCGTTTTAAAAATAAAGAAATAAATTTATGAAATGTAAACCAATCTCGAGAAGAAGAACTAAGAGATCGATTAAATTTTTTTTGATGGGTTTTTGAATACAAATACATATTATTTTTATCTTTCAAAAACTGCTAATTGTGTCATCTCAAGATCGATATATTCATGCAATCATAAAAAATATTAATTGAAATAAAGCTTTACTTTTTACACAGTGTAAAGCTTTAGCAATATCTTATTTATGATATAAACAGTTTCGTTGGACAAAACTACTAACTCATGTTGTTTATATCAGACTTCCAGGAAACGTTGCGTATACGCAAGTCACAACGTTGGGAGTATAGTGGTTAGTTGTTATTAGTACAGAGCTTGCCATTGATGTTAAAAATTAATCGTAAACAATGGGTTCTCGCTTTTCAAAGAGTAGAAATTCTTTTGTTTTATTAGTTATTCGGTTATAGAACGTCGAGCTTACCGCTTCGGTCACATAATAATTCCTTAAAATTGATGAGTGTACAGAAATCAGTAAATAAAAAGTAAAAAATTGAAACATTATGGCTTGGCAACGAGCACTATCTTCTCAAGAAATTCTGAGTATATTAGAAGAGGAAGAGGCTTTAGAAGATGCCAATCAAATCGACGCCGTGTACCTATATCCCTCCGACGGTTGACAATCTTACAGACGAGGAAGGTCTAGATGATGACGCGCTAGGTGATTACGACAATAGTGTGCAGACTGATATCGCTGGAACGTATGAAATCCACACCGATTTACCCGCAGAGCCTGAAAATACGCAAGGTGAGCCCGGTCCTTCAACTTCGAAGAAGTCAAGACTGTCAAAGAAGTCAGCAAAATGTCACACCTCGCAATACTCAATGAGATTTTAAATTAGATCTGCGGCAGATGCGTTAACGTCTGATGCGATTTTAGGCTCCATTGCACTCTCATTAAATTGCTGTTTGAATTCTTTCCCTAATTTGATTGCTTTCATTTGTATTTAATTATCATAAAAGAAACAGTTTTTACTTATATTTTTGATTAGTATTTGCATGAAATATATTGTTTATGGAACTAAAATTACGATTATAATATTCATGTCTGTATAGTTATAATTTTGTATTTAATTTGGAGTCTTTTGTATACTTATGATATTGTACTACTAGGGTAATGACACTGTATATAGTTTTTAAGTTGTAAAAGATTGGCTGTAACATTTTCGGGTGACCCGGAGGGAGCCCGCCTATTCAACTCCTCTCCGTCGACTGTTCGTATACTGTGGCACCCAGCGTCAGCTGCAGGTGCGCCCCGGCGATTGCCCCCGGGAAGCGCCCCTATACATTTCTTCTTTGCTCTTGTCTCCATTGTAAATGGATTGCAATTTCCATGTTACCCGAGCCAGTAATATGTCACCTGTCCGCCTCCACGTGAATTATATGGTCGATTCGGACGTATGGTTGAACTTTGGTGGACTTATTATTAACGGGAATTTTGTTTTTCTCAGCCTTTAAGCTGGTGTAAACTACATTCACGGATATAAATCAAGTGAATGGAGTATGTGGTGTGTATTATTTATGTTAATCCTATTTATGTGTAATATTTACATATGTTGTTGTGTCATTCTCTTCTAATTGCATGAACTTTCTTACTATTATTATTATTATTAATTAAAGAAAAATCATAGTTTAAAATTAACAAACCGCCTTATAAATAAAGTTATTGTATTTCTTTGTTTAAATGAAATTTAAGTGCTTTAAAGACTAAAGAAAATTTTACAAACTTATTGGAAGTGAACGTAAAACAAGTTTATCAAATTTTCTTACTTTATGAATGATGGCCCAGTGTAGAAAAAATATCCATAAATTTTCTGCCAGCGGCATTTGATGCTTGTCAAAGTTTTCAAAAGGAAAGAAAAAGTTAAAGTTCCAAGCTTATAAACAGTTAGTAATAATTGAATTGGTGCTAGAAATGCTATTTCATATTTTCATTTGAATTTGACTGTTTAGTAATTAAATAAAAACAATTATGTTATTAATATTTAAGATTTCAAAATAATTTTTGAGGCCTTTATGTACATCTTTGTATCAACAATTTATATTTTAGTAGAACTTTTAATATATTATTTTCACACCGCTTTAGTATATGGGAAGACAGGCAGGCTCTGGCTAAAGCTGGGAGGTTGAAAGGAAGAAGAAGAAGAAAATATGTATCCATATACTTATAAAGAAAGTAAGTAAGAATATATTTTACCTTTATTCTAATTTTTAATATAATATAACATGTAATCAAATCTAAGATTTTTGCTAGTATTCATTTAAATTAAACTAATATTTTTCGAATGTGCTATTTTAATGTGCGAATGTGCGAAGGATTAAAGAACACATCTCGGACGTCAAAAATAGGCAACCGTCGAGGTTAGCAGTGTGTGAACATACATTGGACAAGCCAGGTCACTACATTCGGTTTGATAAACAACATATCCTCGCTCGTGAAGCAGGTATATACCAAAGTTAATTCGTGAGGCTATTGAAATCCAAAGAAAAGTAGTATTTTGTTTGGATTTAGTTAACTAAAATATTTTCGCATCAGTCGAAAAACATGAGTTATTTTATATATCGTTTGATATAAAGCTAAATTAAATTATTATTCTTTGTTATTTCTTTTAAAAGAATCTGACAAAATGACAGGTTAAGTTATTTTCACATGGCATCCGTCATTAAAACTGTGAGCGACGATATATATAATGCAGAACAAAAGTAATTCAAAACATACTGTTATTTACTTTATATGTAATATTAGTAAAATTATCGTATAGAAAGAAGGATAGAATAGGCAGGAATATAAGTTTTGATTGATTTTGATCGTTTATACCCACAAATTCTTGTTATCCTCCCATGTTTTTCTCTCAGTTTTTTTCACTTTATTGCCGTTGTTTTAGCTAAGACTTTAAAATTTTTTTTTTAAAACAAATATGTTTTTCATGACAATTTTTTATATAGAATTGAAAGATTTGTATGCTGATCACTTACCAAATCAACATCGAACTAGTTTTTTATATACCTACACGTTACTCAAACGTTCAACATGCTTCGCTCCTTTTATCTGACGTTTTTATTATTGTACACTGTTATGACAGCTTTTAATGTTTTAGCTAAAGTACTTGCAAAACATTTTGACGAGGTACAATTTTTCCACGCGTTCCTAGGCAGTACAAGTATTATGTAGAAGCATATAATGCAGAACAAAAGTAATTCAAAACATACTGTTATTTACTTTATATGTAATATTAGTAAAATTAGTAGTTCCTAGGCAGTACAAGTATTATGTAGAAGCATTAGTATAAGAAAAAAACAATTTTACCACACCCTGAATTTTGACGTGACAACGTCTTATAAATTGGTTTGCCGGGTGACACTTCAAGAAACTGCGGTACGCTCCGTTCACGTTATGTGCTCACAATGAGAGCGAATGAGAGGCACGCATCCCTTCCACTCGGGCATGGTTAGCCCGCCTAAGAGCGAGAGAGACAGAGCGAGAGAGAGAGAGAGTGAGAGAGATAGGCATACACAAAATTCAAAAATTCAAAAAAAGTCAAAAAGTGTCATAAGCGCAAGACGTGTTTTGCTATCTCTGCTTTATTAATTCTAAAATCTATATTTAAACTGTCGAAATAGTGAAAAAGTGATATACTTTTTGGTTACCGCATTAGTGCTAGTAAATAGTGTTAAATTTGTGTGAATCTATTTAAAAACAAACCATATAATTAATCTTTTAACAGTGTTACGGATGATAAATAAATAAGTGGGTACATCGATTTAACGCAATATACAATGATTAATGAATGTCCATAAACTTTGACTCAGTGATCAGGAATTCACAACATTATCTACAATTTCACGCTGTCAAGTATTCGGTTGATAGCGCAGTGGTACTGTTAGTGGATTTAACGGTGTGACGTCAAGGAATCACGGTTCAAACCCCAGCGGGATTAATACTTTAGACTAAGATTTTTTAATTTTTAATTTGAAATATACAACAAATATAATTTACAATAAGTTAAGATGCCAAACTTCTGTACAGGCTGTCGCAATAAATTACCAGTTAAAGATTTTATGATTTGTCATCAATGCAAGCGTAGTTATGATCTCCTATGTGCAAATATCTCGCCTAATAAATTCAAGTCGCTATCTAATGAAAGCAAAATTAACTGGAAGTGCCATAGATGTCGTAACAAGATGCCAAAAATAAATAATACCAATACGCCTATTATTAGACCACCACTAAACAGTCAGGTTGATTGTGTATTAAAAGATTGCGGGACTTCCTTAGATATCGATAATGTTACAATTCGAAGTAATAGCACCAAATTGCAAAACGATATTTTAGCCAGCAACTCTGTTATAAATGCAGAATCGCTTCGTGGCATCTTGGAGAGTTTCAAATCAGATTTGTCAACGGTTATAACCAAAAATATATCCGATATGATAACTGAAAGGTTGAAGGATATCAACAAAGAAATAAGTGGATTTAGAGAGGCTATTACCTTTTTTAATGAACAGTACGAAGACCTAAAAAAGCGTCTTGATGATAGCGAAGTCACCATTCATAAGCTAAAATCGAACAATGATCATTTGAATTCTACAGTTAACGATTTAACTAAAAGGTTGAACCTTGCGGAACAATTTATGCGAGAGAGTAATATCGAAATAAACGGCCCTCCTGAACATAGCAATGAAAACCTTGTGAACACTTTTGGTCAGTTAGCTAAGACAGTGAACGTCAATTTCTCGAATGACGATATAGTTCAAGTTACTCGCGTTGCTAAATTCAATAAGGAAAATAAGAAACCACGAACCGTTATTGCCCGACTTCGCACTCCACGCCACCGCGACACGCTACTAGCTGCCGTCCAAAACTTCAACAAGAAAAACCCCGAAAACAAACTTAATTCTCATTAACTAGGACTTGGCGGAGCTCGTTCACAAGTATACGTAGGCGAGCATTTAACTCCAGCCAACAAGTCACTGCATGCGGCGGCTCGCATTAAGGCCAAAGAGTTGAACTACAGATTCACGTGGGTTCGTAATGGCAGAATTTACGTCCGTAAAAATGAATCAAGTCAAGCCATTTTAATTCGGAACACTGAAAGCATAAGACTTATTGTTTAACTTAATTAAATTTCATTTTGAATAGCACAGCTCCTTGGAATCACCAAAGTACAAATTCTCTTCGATTAAAGTGTACTATCAAAACACACGAGGTATTCGTACTCGAACAAACGAAATTTATAAAAACATTTTGTTGTGTTCCTATGATATTATTGCATTTACAGAGACGTGGCTAAACTCAGGTATCAAAGATAATGAATTTATTGATTCTCGCTATATTGTGTATCGCAGGGATAGATTAATTGTAGACAGTGGTAATGGTTCTGATTGTAATAAGCCTTGCGTAGTTACCAAACAGGATGGAGGAGGAGTGTTGATAGCTGTATCTCGTGATATACAGTCCTGTAGGATATCGAGTTGGGAAACCGTCGGTGAAGATCTCTGGGTCACTATCAATATAATAATAAATAAAAAACCAATTAAGCTGGTAATATGTGCTGTCTACTTTCCTCCTCCACTTAAGCTGGATTCAATTAATGCATTTGTGAATATGGCTACAAATGTTCAACAACACTGTGACAATATTATTATTCTAGGAGATTTTAACTTAAGTTCTGTAGTCTGGAATAATAATAATTATGGTTCATATATGTGTTCATCTAATAACAATAGGGCCATAGAAACATTATTTATAGACTTCTTAAATATGAATAATTTATATCAGTATAATGGTGTAACTAATGAAAGAGGCCATATTTTGGACTTGATAATTAGTAATTTACCTAATGTAAAAGTGACTAAAGCTTTGGATTTGTAGCGTGAATTGGATGCTCACCATCCAAATCTTCTGTGTACTATTGAGGATCTAAATTTGCATCCATTACCACCAAATGAGTGCGTAATTCCTAATTTTTTAAAGGCAGATTATAGCAAAATTACAACGGAACTTGAACTAGTAAATTGGGAAACCGAGTTTTTCTCTTGCGTTTGTGTCAATGAGATGGTATCTGTATTTTATAATATACTTAACAAAATAATAGAACAATATGTACCAAAAAAAATTAAATTTAAATCTAAAACCTATCCTCCATTAATACTCTTTGTTCTTCATTTGTATTTTTTCGTAATAGTTTTGTATTAAATTTCCTTTGTTAACTTGTTTTTTATAATATTTTTGTAAGCTAGACAGTAATTTTTAGCAGTGCTGTGTACATCCATAATTGGTACATACATCAGTTAGTGTTTAGTTTTAAATGTTTAGTTTTAAGTGCTTAATGTATGTACTGTCGATGTGCCGTTGAAATAAAAATAAATACACACCGGTTCATGTCTTGCGCTTCTATTGTGTAAAGGTAAAAATAAAATTTTGTTAATATGAAATTCAGTGCGAGATTCTTTGTATAAATTAATGTTTTAAATATAATTCTTTGTATAAATAAATGTTTTAAATTGTTACTATTATTTCATCCTTCTTCCTACTATACGAATGAATATTCACATTAAAATTATTTTACCACTCAAAGTCGTTGTCACGTAAAACTTTCGCCCGTATACCGACTTTACAGGCAACCAATTTTTTTTTATGCAAAAAAACAGTACTAATTGAGTCAGATCATCAACTTCCTTTCGTGAGAAAATGACTATAAATACAAACTAAACAATTCATAACATTTTTTTTAAAGAACTGTTACTTACTTTAAATTTATACATAAAAGAAAAGTAATTTCACTGAATATTAATTTTTTTTTCTTCTATAGAACTTAACATTATATCTCAAATTCTGCCAAATTAGAACAGAAATACTTAGTATTTCTGTTCTTGAAATAGTAACAGTGGATATTCTCTAGTCAAAGAAATAATTCGGTTATCTAACCAAAAATATTTAAAAATCAACTGTTCTTCTGGAAAACAGTTGGCATATGTATAAACACTAGAAAGCAACAGGGAAATGTCAAATACAAAGAATAGAAATGGAAACAAAAAATAATTCAATTTTAACTATTATAAAAATATTAAAGAAAGCATGAAAATATCAAAAAACTGAGAAGATCTAATATACAAGGAAAAAATAAAAGAAACCTGCTGAAACTTGGTCAGTTTGCTGTGATAAAATGTACAAGATTAAATTAATCTATAACACTGGCTTAGAGAATTTTCCCTTGTGTTTAATATAAAGAATAGTAAGCAATAACGACCACATTCTTGACAAAAGCTTAAAGTTTTTTAGTGTAATATAAGCTATAAAATTTTATATTTTATAAAGATTTTATAACGGTCTACAATGACGTTTATTTACTATAGTAATCTTTTACACTTAGTGAACACTAGCTATGTAATTTCACTCGTATTTATTTTATATTTCCTAAATTGACACCATATATTTTTTTATTTGTCAGGTCTCGCTGTTGTGGTATAGCTTCAGATGTTTTATTATTTGCAACATATTTTTTTGTTATTTTAAGCCTAATAAATTTAAAATAACTGACTGGTTTGATAACATTACTGGTGTATCTACTTTTTCTAAACTAAAACTAGTTAGTAATTTTCATAAATAATAAATTGACTTTGCTGTCGGATAACAAAATGATTACATAATTCTATATTGTCACGCCGATCTTCTGTAAGAGGGTGGTACTTCCATGGTCGAGCCAGTCCATGTTCGAGCTGTAGTAACTGACTACAGCTAGGCAGTGGCGGGGCAAGACTTAAATTTGATGTGGGCAAGACAGATTTCGCGAGGCCCTATTCTATGGCAACCTGAAGCTCTTACTATACCTGCTAGTTTTAAAAACTTAAACGTCGACGCGTTTATTACGCTTAAAGCTTTGTTTTCCTTCAAAAGATATAATAAAGCGTATTTTACATAAAAGTAATTACTGCGTTACATACTTCTTAGTTATTACCAATTAAATATTTCTTACTTTATGTAAAATAGACGAGTACAGGTACCTACCTACCTACCGATGTACATATTACAAATCACAAAGAAAACAAAAACAATTAAAAAACGTCACTGTTTTCGGGGCAATCAATATACTTAAACACTATCTATTTATTAGCTAAATATTATTAAAAATTTTAATTAATTCTGATTCTCAAAAAGGGTTGATGTCAGGCAGGCGACCGGTTGTAAAAATAAATAGCCAAAACTATTCACAACTTGTAAGGCAGACCCTGGTTATAGCTTGGATATTGCCAGGAAAAGAAGAAGAAGATTTTTTTCAAATCTCGCTTTAAAAATTTTTGAGGCCCCTCGTACCGCGAGGCCGTAGGCGATGGCCCACGTCGCCCACGTCTTACGCCGCCACTGCAGCTAGGCTCTACCACCTACAAATTCCACATCACTTCCTGTTGATATAAAAAATATTTGATGTAAAGGGCTAATTCTGCTTTAAAATAATTACAGTTGAATGAGAGTTACACTACGAGTATATATAAAGATTGCTTTCAATTCATATACTATTTACTCATAAAACTATACAAAATGGTGTATGAGTATACGAAACAATTTTTACAAAAATACATTATTTTATGTAAGGATATTATGTAAGTAAATATTTTATGTAAGGATAAATTTACTATGAATTGTCATAATTCAATGAAAGATAAAATAAGTCAAGTGAATTTTAAAAACTTCGTTACGGCTATTATATGCAACTGTAACTTGTAGGAGTTGAGTCTGAAATGTGAAATGACTAGGACGCCCTTTCTAAGAATATTTTATTTTATTTAGTAAAGCATCTACTTAATTTGTAAATTTATAATCGTCAATATCATATGGTTATAGCTTTAGCTATTGTTGTCAACAAAATATGTTTAAATCAATTATATAAATTACTATAACTTAGAACTATATTTAATAAAATACATTCCACATAAAAATTATCACTCCAAAATAGAATATATCCCCAGACATTCTTCAAGTCAATATATCGCGATTTATTGACGTGCAAGTGAATTATAATATATGTAGATTGACGGATCGCATTGTTCTTAGAAATTATTTTTTCTTTGGTTTTATTAGGTTTATCTTTGGGTACGACTGTAATTTTGTTCGTGAATTGTACTATGAAATTGAAATATTTATTTTATATCCCGTATTCCCTTAATTTTCTTGTCTATCAGACTTTTTTCTACATTTCTATTCATTGTATTTGAAAATCACTAGGCTTATAAAAGCGCAAATAATGCTTAATCAACTTTTTCTTTTTTAAAAAATTTGCTACATGTTCTCTTACGTACACATTTTTACCTATTTTGCATCAACTCTTTTTTTTCCAAATATATATATTTTTTCTCTACTGATTACATACGAGTATGAGAGAGATAATTGTCGGATACATATGTGGTGTATATTAGGTGAAAGTATTTAATGTTTTTCACTGAGCCTTCAGAATCCGATTCAGGTCAGAACAAACTTAATATTATTTTTAAATATCCTGAATTTGCATCTTCATGAATTTTCAAGTTTCTGACTGATTTGTGTTGTTTTGTTACCTACATTGTATTTTTGCAAACATATTGATTTTTTTATATTTTACAACATTAAGTATTTTCAAGCATAACGTAGTATAGCTAGTTTTGTAACCATTTAAGTACTCACTCACCTGGTTGAGTGAAGAGATTCCACCAAGATATATAGTAGAGTACAAATATTAAAATTATTATTTAATTGACTGTATGTAAATGTGATCTGTAAAAGCAAGTATACTGTCATCTATCGTAAGTAGGAATCATTCATCATCAAAGGAGACACCCATTAAAGATGATCTAATGTAAGTCCCCTGCTCAAGAAAATAATGATATAAACCAAACCCATTCTGGCGGTATATATTTTGCTTGTTTATATT